CTCCCTGGAGTCTGGACCGCCCATCGCCATCATCTATGGTGTAACACCTGCACATTTATTATTTGCGCGTTCCGCACCTTGCGCGGTGCGCGTTTTCGTCAAAAATTGCGCGGTGCGTGTTTCCCACTCCCAATTTTCTTAATCAAATCTGCGCGTTGTCTTTGTATCAGCTGATTGTTTCTACAGCTAGCAGGCCAAGCCACTATATCACACTTAGCGATGATATCTACAAGCACAACACAGACGAGTAAGTCCGTTTCCCACTCCCAATTTTCTTAATCAAATCTGCGCGTTGTCTTTGTATCAGCTGATTGTTTCTACAGCTAGCAGGCCAAGCCACTATATCACGCTTAGGAATGAGTCTCTATTCCGGCTTCCGTTCATTGTGAGTGATGGACATATATTCTACAGTACATGTATTGACGCTGAGTCCTTCAAGCTGCTACAAATATGACGAGACCATGCCAAAGTCCTTGTAAACCAGTACACAATAGTAGCTACTAGCAAGATGTTAGGGCTCAAATACCAGTTTCTCTAACAGAAATTGGCAGGCCTCGGTAATAAAGTGTTCTGCAGTGACGGAATGCTGCACCCTCATCGAGAATTTTGAACATAAGATCTTTACAGCCCTCGCTGACACGGCCAAACGACATATCCTTGAAGCGTTTGACGGCATCGCCGTATGGTTGAGGGTTCCTACCATCGAGAAGAAAACGGCCCATACCATTCCACCATGTAGCAGTGCCAATCCTCGCTGCAACCGGCCGGGTCATCGCAATCATTCGAGTGCATCAATATTCTTGGTTCCTCCGCAGCCACAATTCGACGATGGTGATCAAGGGCAGCTTGAACATAAACCACATTTAGAAAGACCTCGTTGCCCATCAGCTCCCGGTGTGCATGGGTGATCTCGGTAATGGGAGTTTCTGCGAGTTGCTGAAAAGCAAATGGGAAAAGTGAACGGACGTGATATTTGATAGCCAGGTTTATTAGTTGAGCTGGGTGGGAAGCGGAAACGTGCCGCAAACACACGGGAAACAATAAATTCTCGTGCATGACAACATTGGTACATGTCGCAGAAATGGAGGAATTTTGTAAGCTCGTCGAGTGTATATGAGCCGGCACGTATCCTAGTACAGATTGTCAAGTGGCTACATAGAAGAATAAGGGCATCAACATACCTTCCGAAGGTAAGCTCGAGAAACAACTCAAAGGCGTCCCGGGATATTCCTTCGAGGTGAATGGGCTTGTCATCGCTCATGCCGTCCAGCTCTATTTGACCGCTGTTCTGTGTAGCAGCAAACATGTCACGAAAGACGTTGGAAGCCGAAGATAAAATTGAACTGCAGAGCTTGTACAGTATGTTCTCAACCTGCCGGCACAAAATATTTCAAGTTGTGAGTCCAAAATGAAGAATAAATTAGTAAAACACACCTGGAAGATATGGCTTGACGCATGAAAGTAGTAAATAGGGTGTCGAGTTGCCTTTGACATATTGACGATTCGAAAGGATGTACAAGAACAAAGATCAGCTATGAAATAATTAGAACCGTATGTTTGCGACTGTTGTTTGCCTCATCTCACGCGCACACTTTGCTTATGTCGTTTTGGTCATCAATGGTCATCAAACGCTACGGTGGCTACACCATATTCAAGTCAATCTATTGTGATGCCTGCACTACCAACTGCTTTGCCCCAATTTCCGTCTCGCATGCTAAATCAGAATCCGTGGTCTGCAAATATTCGCACTGCCCACGATACTTTGTCAGATATTTACCGACGCGCCCATCGTATTCTTAGTCAAGAAGATGCCGACCCAATCCAGCTCACATTTCATATAGATGCTGTATCAGGGGATGCTATCCCATTGCTTGAAGCCCTCGCACGCGACCCTCAAGGACATGAGATGCAAGATTGGCTCTCTCATACAGCACATTTGCTGGGAGATCTCTTCGTGCTTTTGTCGTCATTTCAGTACAATATGCAGAATCGGTAATCCATCTCTGATATGTATTTTGCGTCATTGATTGTGCAACAGCATGGATGAAAATGTCGTGTTTCCGGAACCAGTGGCCTTGTTGCACACAGGGCGTCCAGGGCGTCCAAAAAAAATGATCGATGTTGGATTCCTCACCGAAGCAGTCTCGACTTCCCGACAAATCAAACTTACTGAGCTTTCTGAAATGCTCGGAGTCCACAGGAACACATTACGACGTTATATGAAGCGCTATGGAGTTGAAAGAAAATACTCGAACCTTACTAACATCGACCTTGATCTTCTCATCACCGAGTTCAAGAAAAAGCGGCCTGATTCAGGTATAAGGTGCATCATTGGTTTTCTCCGCAGGCATGGACTGCGAGTGTAGCATCGACTGATTCAGGTATAAGGTACATCATTGGTTTTCTCCGCAGGCATGGACTGCGAGTGCAGCATCGACGGGTGGTAGAATCGCTCCGCAGAGTCGACAGATTAGGTCAGGTGTTGCGCGACCGACGGGTCAAACGTCGGCGTAAGTATCATGTTAAGCGGCCTAATGCATTGTGGCACATCGATGGGCACCATAAATTAATTCGCTGGGGGGATAGTGATTCACGGTTTTATTGACGGTTTCTGCAGAACGGTTTGATATGTTCGTTTGTACAGTTTATCGATTCTCATTTGTATTTCTGCAAGATAACGGGATTGCAAGCAAGTAATAACAATCGTTCGACAACTGTTTTGGACGTTTTTAAGCAGGCGACGCAAGTTTTTGGGACGCCTTCTCGAGTGCGAGGAGATCGGGGCGGAGAGAATCTCGATATAGCAACTTACATGATAATGAAGAACGGACCACGGCGTGCCTCCTTCATGTGGGGATCGTGAGTTGTGATCCCATTGGTTTATGTTATGTAGTACTAACACCCAACGTACTAAGCTCTACTCGGAATACTCGAATCGAACGTTTGTGGGTCGAGGTTGGCACTCAATTCGCTAGGAGATGGAGAGCGTTCTTTACCCGACTCGAAAATTATCATAGGCTTGACCCTCAGGCCGCGAATCACATCTGGTTGCTCCAGAGTTTATTTCTTGATGAAATCAATTCGGATTGCTTAAATTTTCAGGCAGAATGGAACTGTCATCCCATTCGCGGTCCTGACACCAACAATAAGAGTCCCAAGGTAAACTCGCAGTTGAATTTTTGATGTAACATTGACAAATTACTGGACGGACACATAGGATTTACGTTTTTTAGGGCACTTGCAGTTTGGCATCTATCGTGATGACTGTGAAGGTGTGCATCCTGACGTGATTAACGAGTACTACGGGGTCCATGGTCACACGACAACTCGACAGCGTCATCAAACAGGAGCTGGACACCCCGCTGATGAAGAAGACAGCGACTCAGATAGCGATGGCGAACATCCGAGTACTATGGTACAGGCCATCAACAACCAGCAAAGACACCAGATCCGTCACGAGGCCATTAGCGTGCCGTCACAACAGAACCCTTTTGTTGATGACGCAACACGACAGCAGTTTTCCGCCACCCTTGATGAAGTTATAGCCAATGATATCACACCAAACAATTGCAGACTAACGCTAGATGAGTGGGATGGAGATGAATACCCAACATTTGAGACTATTACCTTTGGTCAACGAGGATCAAAAGAACTCCACGTTTCACTTGCTGAACCGATCTGGTTTAATCGAGCGAAATTATGGTGTCAGGCGTTATTAGTTTTGTCATATTTTCTAACTGCCAGTAGCGACTAACAAGTACTACACGTCAATGTAAAATGTCATATCCTTGTTAGCTGTATATAAACTGCTGGGCCATCTACGTAATTACCTTGCTTCAGGTCATTTGCACGTCGAGTCTACTGCTTCAAGTCATCTCCGCATTCCCTTTCACCAGTGCCCTCCGACTCCCGAGCCATGGATCCCAAAGGCAACAACTTGAATCAAGAACTCTTCTGCAGAGGCCTCAAGTCGGACAGTCAAATGTGTGACTGTGAGGAGTTTTTCCCTCGCACACAGGATGAAGGCCATTGCGCAGAGTGTGGCCATGGTCGCAGTAAGCACCCCCGCAAAGCTTCAACGAGTCGTGAACCAGTACTGGAAGTTCAAGAGGATGCTGATGAAAAACCTCATCCAAGTTCTGCAGTCGCTATCAAGGATATTTTCACTCGAATCACTGGTGGAAAAACCGTCAATGACAACCTGAAGCTTGCCACTACAGGCAAGCAAGGAAGCCTAGTGCCGCTCACCAGTGCTCGAGAGGAAGCGTTATCAACTCTGACATCAACTCGGCTTGCCGGTTATCATAAGCTGGCCAAGGGCCCAGTACCGTCGGCAGGCTCGCGAAAGGTAAGTGTTATCCTAGTAGTGCACAAAAATATATATTCACATGAAAATTGCATTCAGGATCGTAAGGAAATCACCAGCTCACAAATGGTTGGAAGCCAAGCGCGCAGGAACACCTCTTCTAGTGTCTCAATGTCGGGGAACACATTTCGTGTTGCATCAGTGGCCATGTTGACTTGCGGTGTTGATGTCAGTCAAGAGCCCTCGAGAGACGGATTAACTCGCTAACTCAGTTTTTGACAGAGGAACGGTCTTATCAGAGTATCCAAAGTCCCGAGCAAGAACGGCCAAAATGAGATCCAGGCGATGAAAAACCGTGGCTGTTACCTTGAACAGCAGTTCGTCATCGAAGGTGGATGGACTTATCGCAAGGTCACCAGTCAGTTACGAAGTTGGTTTCCTAAAGTCTTTGATTACCTCGACGGTCAAGTCGAGAAGCGACAATCAGCTACGTTACGTGAAGAGAAGCCAATTTGGCGGCTCCTCAACAAGTGCGGACAAACGCTAACAGTCGTCGATATCGGGTTTCCAGCTGGGAGTGATCTTGCGAAACACAAGGGCCGGGACAAAGCAAGTGTTAGTGATTGTCATCTTTGGTTTGGTGCGTTCTCGTTCATTTTTTGCTTCGTTCAAGTTGTACTCATGAAATACTACTGGCGCTAGTCACAAGGAACCGGATTCCTGACAGCGTTTACGAGTCTTGGAACACTCAACCCGTGATAGCTGGATCGGATTCTGAACGCGACGATTGTAACGATATCCTTTTGTCCGACACCGATGATTCAGTTAGCATCAAGTCGGACAATGATCTTGCAAGTTCATTGATGGAACTTGATATGTCCTCGGATTTGGACGTTAAGGACCCAAAAGGCAAGGGCAAGGCAAAAGCGGCACCTACTAGGTCACCAATGAGAAGCCGGAACGGTGAGTACTATTTGTGATTCAAATTATAGTATTATGTACTCATCTATTTCTATAGCAAAGCGCAGTCACACTCTGCTTTCCCCGTCACCATCAGAAGCCACTAGGAAAGCAGTCCAGAAGAAACTCAAAAAGGGTTCGTCTCTCAAATATTGTGACAACCAAGCTTATTTTATTTGTTGTTCTAGAACCTGCAAGTGACACTGCCGTTCCCTTATTTTCAATGAACTCTGAATCTGCGAGCCCTGAACTCAAACTTCATCCGTCGACCCAGCCCAGCGCTCAATCCAATAGCTATAGTGAGTTTATCATTCCACTCATTCGACATTTATACTACTTGTTGATGAACATCTGCGCTGCTGTTATTTCAGAAACGGTATCGTTTCGTACTATGACTAGTCGAGTGCCAGCTACCCTCAAAGTAGAGAACAAGATATCCGCTCCACCAGACTTTGTGTCGGTCAGTGAAGCGGATGTCCTGTGGCGCGACAAGATACAGGACGATGACCCTTTCGCGGAATACATCAATCCGTGGGACTCCCATTACTCTATGCTCAATCTTGCCAACCTCCGAGTAATTTGAGAGTCGGCATAGGCTATCTCGCAGTGACCAGGTCTGTTTTTTAAATGACAGGCGCGTTAATTTCGTAGTTTTTGTTCTTTGTGCATCGTAGTACATACTAGTATCCTCGTCATTTCATTCCGTATCGCTACATTCAACTTGCACCCTCGTAATGCCTCACCTACTAATGATATCTTGCAGTCAGATACATGATTCACTCGTTACTACTTTGCGGACACTCATTGGATGCAGATGTGTTGTCACTTAGGCTCACCGAGCGCTGGTTCACCAAAGTCGAAATCATCAAGGCTGAGCTTGAGGAAAAGCAGTTCAAGGTCAAACTTACTGTCATAGACACCCCCGCGTTTGGTGACTATGTCAACAACTGCGATTCAACAAAGTCGAAATCATCAAGGGCTGAGCTTGAGGAAAAGCAGTTCAAGGTCAAACTTACTGTCATAGACACCCCCGCGTTTGGTGACTATGTCGACAACTGCGATTCACCGAAGTCGAAATCATCAAGGCTGAGCTTGAGGAAAAGCAGTTCAAGGTCAAACTTACTGTCATAGACACCCCCGGGTTTGCGATTGACCTCATCTCGATGACGAAGGAGTTGCACTACAAGAACTACAGGCAGCAACAGATGGAGATGAGGAATGCTCGCTACTTATCTCTATGCACATGCTCGACCTCATCTCGACAACGAAGGAGTTGCACTACGAGAACTACAGGCAGCAACAGATGGAGACGAGGAACACTCTCTACCTATCTCTATGCACATGCTCGACCTCATCTCGATGACGAAGGAGTTGCACTACGAGAACTACAGGCAGCAACAAATGGAGACGAGGAAGTTTGGGGAGCCCACTCACATCAGCATCTTTGGGCGAGATGGCAGGAAACGGACTTACTCGTCTGTATTGTGCTGGTAGATATCATTCCTAAGCGTGATATAGTGGCTTGGCCTGCTAGCTGTAGAAACAATCAGCTGATACAAAGACAACGCGCAGATTTGATTAAGAAAATTGGGAGTGGGAAACGGACTTACTCGTCTGTGTTGTGCTTGTAGATATCATCGCTAAGCGTGATATAGTGGCTTGGCCTGCTAGCTGTAGAAACAATCAGCTGATAAAAAGACAACGCGCAATTTTTGACGAAAACGCGCACCGCGCAAGGTGCGGAACGCGCAAATAATAAATGTGCAGGTGTTACACCATAATCATCGTGATGAATAGTGAACCGCGCACATGGCGTACATGCCAGTGCCCCGTCTCGATTGGTCCAAGGATGGTCTCTCCGCTCTCGACATTCCATACTCTTGCCGTTCCATCGTCCGATGACTCTGATCCACTCATGACACGCCCTCCGTCTGCGCTCCAGCAGATAGACGGCACTGCTGAATGTTTGAACTTTGTCTTCAACTTTGCTGCGTTGTTGCTCTATGAACTGGGCCAGTCGTTCCGTCTCGCAAGATTCTTATACTCACGCATGATTTAGTTCACTTCTGCTTTATGTTGTTCATGAGCTTCTGAAGGTACAAGAATACCATTGGACCGATTTTTCAACGATATGATGAAATACGTGATCCAAATTGTGAGTGAGTAATATGACTCGGATCATCGATGCTCGCCCTACCATCAAGTCATGTCTTTGTCTTCTTGGCTATATTTCCTCCGGTGTGTTGTAGTCCGCCTGGCTTGACGTTCATGTGCTTATCACAGGCTACATGGGTTTCTGTTACAGACTGGCGAGTGCATCGATAACCTCGAATTCATATGCGCGCAGCGCATCAACATAGCATATCTTATGACTTCTCGAATACTTTCCAACCTACGAGTAAGTGAAGGAAACTCAAGAATTCATCACACATCGTTGTAAGCATCTGAGATCCAGTTTGCAGGAGGTCGGCTCGGGACATCGAGAGAGGTTTCATGACGATCATGTATGTAGCGTAAGCAACCACATTTTTGCATGCCCCGAACCATACCGAATAAGATGAAACACTGCATCTGTCTTACATTCTACACAATCAGCATGGGTCTAAGGATGTGGGCGAAAGTCTGAGTCATTGACTGAGCGGTGCTCGTGATACTACATTGTAAATTCCCCATCACTCCTAATCGCTCGCAGGAAGCCCTTGTAGGCTCCACATCCTCGTGCCCTGGCTCATATAATCGTCGGTCAATCTCGCAGCCCTAAGAAAGAGTGATCCATCCAGCGCTTCTGCGCCCTCCAGCTCTGTGCCCTTGAAGTAGCCCTGAGGCCGTGCACCATAAAGCGAAGAGAAATGCGCAAGGGCCCGTTGAGTCTTCAGCATATGATCATTTGAGTGCAGTATCGCCGACTGAATGAGGTCGAGGAATGGGTTACCGACTGTGTTTGCTGAGGAAGGGGGTGAGGAGGTGGCATTGAGGAAACCTTGGATATCTGGTCGAGGAGCGCCGCGCACGATCCACCACGTGAGAGTGCTTGCAAAGTATGCGCGAAGTAAAAGAACTTGAGAGTTTTGTGTCAAGTAAGGCAACAGAGATGGGAGGAAGAGACTCGACGTGACCAGATGCATCCTTCACCGTCCCGAAAATTAGCAATTATTTTTTGCAGAAGACTACATTGGCACCGCTTACAAGAAGAATTCTGCTGTGAAACCTTTGTCTTCGCTCCATCCGCCAATAGCATAGAGGATAGTGTTGGTCCAGACACATTCTTCCATCTTGCGTTCGATTTCGCCTGGCTGTGACAGGTCGATCGTCCATTGCTCGACGTAGCGCCATATATTAGCACCATGCTCTGATAGCAGCCCGTCGACATCACCAAAGTACCTCTTCATTTCCTTCGGTGCGAATTCTGAATCTTGCCTGATCTTAGCAAGAACAGAGAATGCGTGGTTTCTTTGCGGTCGTGGGAGCTGAGAAGGTGCAATAGGAATCTTTGTATTAAGGAAAAGCGAGGCAAGCCGAGTTGTCGCCTCCTCCACTGCAGTAGTGCCGCCATGCTCCAATAGAGACGATGGGAACGACATAGACTCGTGCACGCTGGTCAATGCGAGACCTTTGAGACCTCTATCAGCGATCTGTTTACGACAGCGGGTTGTTCCACCGCTCACCTTCAGCGACCATGCCCGGGATACCAAATTCCGTGCCATATCCCACATGGATGAGGGAGTGGAATAACCCCCCCAGGAAGCGGGTCAACATCGCCGGTTGAGTGGATGCATCTCGTCCATCTACAAAGTTGAACTTCTGAGAGAAGACGTATTCGTCCAGAGTGGCACTGACGCCCTTTTCCTCGATAACCTTAATGAAGAAGGTCATGTATGCAGCATAGAAGCTGATAAAATATTGAGCAGGGCCTTTCAAGTATCATGGGAAACTCACTTGTCGTCACCCAGATGTTTGATGAAGTTATCTTCGGTGATTGGTTCGGGAGGCTCGATGACTGGGCGCTGGGCGACACTCTTTTGCTTGTAGGACTGTTCGATCAGAGATCCACTCGCGCCCATAGCATAAAGTGCCAGTGCATGATGAGTGATATGACTTTATCAACGGTCGAATCAATAAATGAGGCATGAACTAGTTGAGATGCATACGCACTTATGGAACCGCATGCCCACGATCTGGAAGATGTGGTACTTGGTATGATTATCCTTCAAGACATGTCTCAAAGCCGCAACTGCCTCTGCGGAGGCCCCAGGGTACCGCGGAGGGCAGAGCACGGTCGGCGGGGGAGATGGGAAGGGAAACAAGGTGTCGAGTCCGCTGGCGTGACAAGTCTGTTGAGCCATTCTTGAGTGAGGCTAGTACGAAGGAGACGTCACGGTGGAGGCATTTTCGCGAGGGTGCATTTATACCCCTGTCCCATAGATCCGTTACTGAGCGGTGATGCGTACATTTAGGGAAATATGTCTGTACCCAAAACGCAGATTATGCGCCAGCAAACAGCTTTAATCGCGCATTCAGTCACGCTGACGTCTCATCAGCTGTCAAAACCTTGTATTGGGCACCAGTTCCATCATACGGCGACTCTTCGATGAGGCGTCTCTGCGGCTAAGGACCGAGTCTGACAAAGGCCTCAGGCACTATATACGATCAGTCAGATATGATGACAGAAACGCTCTGACGGATCTGATTTTGCCCCACCACACTCCACAGCTGGTGCGGTCGCACGTGCGTCCGGCTCGCACTTACGTTCAGTGCATAGTCTCCCAATAAGTCAGAGGAAGACAGTTAATTAAGTTTGAGACTCAACCGGCTCTCTTCTTCTTTTTGAAACTCCGACGTGCATGTGGTGTGTTAACTTCTTCCCTTGAAGCCTGCAGCCGAAAAGCCTATATCTGAGTCCGACTCACTGTCTCGATCATTCTATCGCATACCCCATACCTCGAGCCATGATTTATTATTGTAATTGATTTGCATGCCTACTGACCGTGCTTGCCCATCACCGAGGTTGCACTTCACACTGCACAGTGAGTCCCTGGCTTAATGCCTTGCTGGACTCTTGGAGTGTGTGACGCTAATCTACTACTTGTCTAGGTTTTTGACTACTGCATTACTCTAGAGGCAAATGTGATCAGCCGGAGCGGAAGTATTTGAGATTCAGTTCGCAGGAGGTCAGCTCTTGACATCGAGATCGGAGGTTTCATGAAGATCATGTGTGTAGTGCAGGGCTGGTTCCAGCATGTATATATGAATCAGTGAGTACGACTTGTGAACTACGATACCCGTCCAGTTGAGCGGTAGCCTTGCCTTTTACTCCTAGCCACGTTTTCGACCGTGAAGTGTTCACTCGCGTAGCTCACCTGTCCCCTTAGTATCGTGAGTCCGTTTAACAGTTCGCTCCCACCCCCCTTTCGGAAAATAAACTGATTATAACATTCAAAGCCAGGCCGACCACAAGGCACCACAGTTTGTGCACAGATGTATAGTTGTGCATGTCTATTTATAGTTCCTTGTCACAGCACCCAGCACCTCGGACGAAATCTGGAAATGTGAGGCGAGGATAATGAAGGCTGACAGGGTAGTTGTGCGGCTCCTTGCCACAGCGCCCAGCACTTCCATCATAACCTCGCCTCACATTGTCATATTGTGATTGGCTCTCTTACATTACTTCAAACTCCGACACGCGTTGCAGGTCACGTAGGTCACGGTACATATGTATTTCTCGACTTGGAGCAAGCCTCTCGGATATATATATCTAACTCTCTGTCTCAATCGCGTAGCCCATACCTCGACCCACGATTCATGAGTGTAATTTATTTGCACGCCTCCTGCGCTTGCCTGTCACCGAAGTTGCACTTCGTGAGCCTCTGGCTTAACTTAGGCTTTCAATGTGTTCAAAGCTGGGCAGATACCATTGGAAATATTCTCCAGCACAATGTGGGCGGTTTTCTGTTATTGACACCTTTGATTTTCAGGAATTCAGAAAGCTCATATAGCGTTCCTGCTGCAGTGCCACCGCCATCGTGTTCATGGTGAGACATCTAGCGCCAGTTATGATCATACAGCGAGAAGCGCACCTGCTGTTCTGTCTAGTACGATCTTGATAAGTATCGTTCTGTCCGTTGACACTAGCA